GCCGGCACTCCCAGAGGCCTTCCACGAAACTGGGTTTTCATAACCAAAACGCTGTTCTTAGAACATCGGTCCGGTGTGTTGCGAAAAGACAGTCTCAGCCAGAACTGTTCTAAGCACATTCCGTGCAGACCACAAGCGGTTCTTAGAACATTCTTTGGTGGGCCTATAGGCAAGCCAGGACGCTTCGCCACTGCTTGAGTAGCTGGCGGAGGTCGACGTTATCAGGGGCAACGCTGGGGAAGGATAGGCGCAGTGGGGGATGCATCGGCCCCCCGTCGCCCATGCAGCGCCGGCTGGGTGACCGATAGCCCGGCTCGCCCAGGAACGAGCGGATTCGCTCTTGGTGCCGATCTCCGGCATATCGGCGATGCATCGCCGATTCCAGCTCGGTGTTTCCCCAGCGGAGCCGGCGTCCCTTGTAGCAGGCGGAGGTCGGCATTGGGAAAGAAGCGCTCTGCGGCGGGGCGCTTTGTGCGCATTTTGCCCTGGCTTCCTGCGGGTGGCCTGGCGGGTCGCGCGGGGCCAGGGGGCCCAAGGGGCCCTGCTGGAGGCCTCCAGGGGAGGCGCCCGGGGGGATGTATGTGGTAGGTTTATGTCGGGGAGGGCTTCTACAGGGCCAGATCAAGGACCCTTTAATTTTTTCCCCGCGGGGCTCCCGCAGGAGCATCCGCAGGCCCGTCCGAAAGCACCCGCAGAGCATCCGCAGAGCATTCGCTAGAGCTATGTCAGGGTTCTTGTTTTTTCCTCAAGCCCTTTGTTTTTTCCATATGCATGTTTTCCCCCTCCGCGGCGTGTTTGTTTTTTTGTGACTACGTCCACTTGGGCGCACCATAGCGAGCCGTTCGCGCGCCAACACCATAGTTTCATGCATGCGCACGCACGCACGGCATCACATCATTATCGCAGGACGAGTGTACCACGGCACGCCGCTCAGGCAGAAGATCCGCTACCAAGAAGGCCGCTTAGCAATATACAGCCGTTGCCAGCGCAACAACGCATGGGGGGTCGTACTACCGTTACTACCTCTCCGCTACCACCACCACGGGCAGCTATACCCGAGCTGTTCGCGCCATACGGCGCATCCGTGTTTCGAGTCACAAGCGGCGACCTCCTCGTCCTCCTCCTCTTCCTCCTCCTCCTCCTCCTCCTCCTCCTCCTCATCCCCCCCAGTTCCCTCTCTTCCTCCTCCTCCCCATCCTCCAACACCCCCCCCCCCTCCTCCTCATCCTCCTCCTCTTCCTCCTCCTCTTTCTCTCCTGTTCCTCCTCCTCCTCCTCATCCTCATCCCCCTCCTCCCCATCATGCCCTCAGGATTAGGGGCCAAGTTTTCTTGGGGTTAGGGTTAGTATACCTTGGGCCCATGGGCTTAGGGATTAGGGGTTGTCTTGAGGTTAAGGTTTGGGTACTCGTCGTCGTCGTCGTCGTCATCACCCTTGTCGCCGTAGTCGTCGTCGCCGTCGCCGCCGCCGCCGTCTCCGCCGCCGCCGCCGTCGTCGTCGTCGTCGTCGTCGTCGTCGTCGTCGTCGTCGTCGTCGTCGTCGTCGTCGTCGTAGTCGTCGTCGTCGTCGTCGTCGTCGTCGATCGTCGATCGTCGATCGTCGTCGTCGTCGATCGTCGATCGTGTTCCTCTATCGTCGATCGTCATCGTCGTCGTCGTCCTCGGGGCGGGGGCGGCGCCCGCTGGCCGATAACGTCGGCGTCGTCCCAGGACAACCCGCCAGCCCGCGGCCCGAGGGAGGATGAGGCATAGAGGGAGGAGGAGGGGCGAGGGAAAGGGTGGGGAAGGGAGGCAGACGGCAGGCGGGAGGGAACGGACGAGCAAGAAAAGCACGGGGAAGAGGGGGGGTGACGTTTTTTTTGTTTGGGGGGGGGCGGTAGGACGAGGGGGGATGGATGATTGCGAAGACGGGTGGAAGATACGTCTTGCAAGTGGGCAAGTTGACTAGCCGCGAGGGGCGCGTGGATGCGGTAGGACGGTGAGGAGGCGAAAGGCGAGGATGAGGTGGGTCATGTGGGGGCGCATGGAGGGCGTTGCAGGGGGGCTCCAGGGTATACTAGCCCTAACCCTAACTCTAACCGTAACCGTGAGAGAACCAATGACCCTAACCTTAACACTAACCCTAAGATAACCCATGAACCTACCCCTGATATAACCCCTAACCCTAACCATCATATGACCTCGAACCTGAGATAACCCCGAACCCCTAACTCTAAGCTGACCCCTAACCCAAAGTACTTGAGTATTCTTTGTTCCAATAGTTTGCTGAAGCCTCGGTCGCAGCGTCACCCTGCTGTCGACCTTACTGTAGCTCGGACCCGCGGTAGCCCTCCCTCTGGATAAGCTCATGGCCTTGTCGTGGGCTGCGCGCTTCTTGAGGCGCCTGCAGAGGTAGTGATCTGCTCTGAGTTCGCCGATATTCTTCGCGACCTCGCCGACGGGGATAGCGATCGTGTCGATGCCCGCAGGGCGCCCTAGCATGTGACTCGCATTCAAGATGGACTCTGCCCTCTCCTTCGTCTGCAGACGGTCCAGCAACTTGGAGAGTTCAGACGATACTGTGCCGAAAGACTTCTTGCCCTCTCGATACAAAGATGCCCCGAGTGCGCCTGCCATTTGGTACACTTAAAACTCGTCTCGACAGAGCGCTCGGTACGCTGCCGCTGCCGCTCGCAGCGCAACCTTCCCTATGACTTTGGCGCGAGCTGCGGCGTATGCTCTCCAAGCCCCCCCCCCCCCCCGCCTCCCCACTTTGTATGCCAGATTGCCTCGCATTGATCTTGATGCCCGCGCCTCCGCCCCTCCGCTCGCAAACCCCCGCTGGCCTCAGGATCCGAGACTCTCTCGTGTAAGCCCTCCTCAGACAGAACTTGCCTCTGATGGTGGGCAGCTTGGGCCTGGCGGACTGCAAAGAGGTAGCTTCCACCTGCCGTCTGGTCTGCGTGTTCCGAGTCTCCAAGTTCACAGTCGCCGTCTTGTTGGCCATCACGATGATGCTCAAGCCTGGTCGCTCGTTAGCCCGCCAGGCTTATCCTTGTAGCACGTGGTAAAGTCATCGCTGAACTTGTCGCGACTAGGCCTGCACGATGCCACGAGTTCTGGGGCCAACGCTTGATCATCGAAACGCAAACACAACTTGAAAGGGACTTGCTGTCCAATCGAGGCCCCAGACTGATGAGTGCAGCACCCTTCTCTGGATACCGCCTTGCACCTTGCACAGCTTCGTCTGGCTCTCGAGCGTCATGAACTCTTCTGGCATGCAGTCCAGTTCCAGAGACTTCGTCACCTTCTCAATGTGCTTGAAGCACTCGTTCTCCATGTTAGCCTCGCAGCGCTCATCATCGGCCACTGACTCCCACCCAAATTCGTCGCGTCGCCGTCTGAGGCGAGAAGGGCGCAGTCCTGATTCATCTCCCACTCCTCGCTTGCCATCTCCAATTCCATCCCCAGGAACCTCTTGATTGGCCCCCAAGCCGCCCTGAAGAACAGGACCTGGATGGACGGCTCAGTGGCAAGCCAATCGCGCGCTTGGCCGCGGTATGCTTCACTCTGGTCGGCGAAGGCCTTCCGTGGGTGATCAGCCTTCTGCGCGCCAGATTGGGGTGCTCCGCTGCCCTCCTGGGGCGGCCTCGCATCGGCGGCTGGACCTTCGCCCTCGCGATCCTCGGGCGCGCCGGGCTGCACTTCCAGCGGCGCCAGGGTTGCGTAGGGTGACAGGGTTGCGCAGGGCGCCAGGCTTCCAGGGCTGCACTTCCAGGGCGCCAGCTGCAGCTCGGGTTGTGCGACTGGGTAGTCGCCAGGATGCCCGTCGCCGTACTCGACGTTCAGGCAGCTCGTCTAGGACGCCGTGAAGAGGCCGTGGATGTTCATCGGCAGGCCGACGTCGCGAAACGCGATGTCTGCCCCAGTCTACCTGCGGCGATGGAACAAGTACGGGGCGTGGGGGAATAATGTTGGCACGAACTCTTTGAACAGGAGATACAGGACGTCAGCTCGAGTCTCGCCTGGCATTGCAACGAACATAAAATTACTCACATCTCTCCAATCCCCTGGCGCGCACCGTTCAAGCAGCATTCGCAGCGCCACGCGCTGGGGAGAAGCGTCCAATAATGTATCCATCACCAGGTTTCTGAACGCAACTGCCGTGGCATCTAGACCTACGCCTGGCACAATCATCAACTTCTGTCGAATGATCCGCCCGGCAGCCTTCCGGGGCAAGCTCATCTGGCCAGCCAGCCTCAGTGAAAGCGTCGTCGCTACAAGCATCGATATATCTGCCGCGTGCATGTCGTAAACGTTGGTGTGGAATCCAGCCACTGTGTGTACCCGACACAGAAGGTGTAGCAATGCCCATCCTTCGCAATCGCACAGTAGATGGCGTTCAGCCTTCAGATCTGCAGTGCACCCGCCAATGCAAACAACGCGAAGCCTCCTGGCGAACGAAGCTGCATTTGAAGCCCCAAGCGAATATTCTGAAATGGCAGCCTTGTAGTTTTTTGCAGAGTTCCTATCGCGCACCTGGAGCCACGATGGCATGCTCCCACAGAGAATCGCAAACCGACCATCAACCTTCAGCAAAAGCAAAACGTTCGTGTCCATCCGCAATACCTTTTTGGTGCCCACCGTTGTCTCCTCAAGTTCCCTGGCGATTCCATCGGGCTCTTGCCCAGGAGGGGCCCCGTGGGCCACAGTGGAGTGTCCGTCGTCGAGCCTCTCGGTCACCATCTGCGTACTCTGCAAGACAAAGTCGGTGCTGTCGTAGCTGGCGTACTCCACGTAGCACGGAAGCTCCACTCTCTTGGAAGAGCCAGCGTAGTTAACCAGTAGTTCCTCAGTGTGTCTCCAAACGTTGCGCTCGACATGCGGCGGCGCCTGAAAACAAATCACCGCTGACTCCCGATCAGGTTTACCATGGGTTTCACCCGGCCTCGGGCCGAGATCGCCCACCAGAAAAAAACATCTAAATCGCAGCGAAGCTTCGCATTTCAAACGCCTCCAAGACCTGAAACGCACACACTGCCATGATCTTCAGCGTGTCCCTGTAGGTGCGGCGGTCCTCGTCGAGATAGCGCGCGTTGGCGGTGATCCGTCCTGTAAGCGGGTTGTGATCCATCAGTTCTGTGGCTACCTTGAGAGCTGATTCGTCGAGGTCATTGTCGGGAACGTGCCTGCAAGCATGCGATGCCCAGTAGACATCCTTCTTCACCTCTGCGGCGACCAACTCCCCTGCATGGTCGGGCTTGTCGTCCACGTCGCCGTCGACAGGGCAGTCGTCGCGCGAGAGGGCATCCACGTCTGCCAACCAGTCGGCTCCACTTGGCTGCGGCAGCTCCTGCCCAGCGTCAGCTTCATCGCTCGTGGCGCCCAGCGCTGAGAGCCAGGTCTCGTCCACGTCGCCGACGGCCGTGTCGCTGCCAACGTCGCGCAACGCCGCAAACCACGTGTCGCTCACGCCTGACATCACGGCAGACACAAGCAATATTGCTGTGTGCACGTGCATATATATATGTATAGGTACAAAGCGTAGGGGGAGATATGTACAATGCCGAGGGGTGAACCACAACGGCTTCGTGCGTAAACGAGATGCGTTGTATGGTAAGTGTCAAGGTTGATATATCAAGGCTGACTGTCAAGTAGCTGTTCCTCACCTCTTGGTTTGTCTCTGGCGACCTTTCCTTCCTAGACCGATAATGTACTCTGCCCCCCCATCCTTTCTTATCTCTGGGTTTCTCCATCCCCCCCTCTCCCTGAACTCATGTTCCCTTCCTCCCCGATGTCTTACTCTTTTCCCAAACCTGTCGCACATATGGATTTCGGCTCCGGTCGCCGTTGATATCTCTGCGCTGGCACGTATGATACATCGCGAACTCGTCGTAGGCCCTTAAACGCCCCAAGACACCCTGCCCTAAACACCCCACCGTGGACGCCCCAAGATTCTCAGCCTAGGCCTTTAGGAGTCCTGCATGCGATCTGTAGCTAGATCCGCCAGCACCCGTATGAGGCCACCCAGCGCAATCACTTTATGAGGCCCCCCGATGAGGCCCCCCAGCCCCTGTCTAACCGCCACCCCCCCATGAGGCCCCCCAGCGCCTTCACAGATCTACCCGTCTGGCCCTTCCTATAACATGCATCTCAATCGTCGGCGCGTCGGGGGCGCGCCCGTTTGGATTTCCTACGCTGAGGCGAACGTGTTTTGTGCAAGACATATGAATAGTTGTTTTTTGTGTTTTTGCATGTGGTTCCGCAGTTACTTTTTCATAACTTTGCAGATGCTTCTTGCTTTTTCGGTGAGGCCGTGCAGATGCTCTGCGGGTGCCCCGCGGGTGGCTTGCAGGGAAATGTCCGAGGGCCTGCGATCGCTCTTGCGGGAGCCCCGCGGTGAAAAAAAAACAAAGGGTCCTTGACCTGGCCCTGTAGGGGTCCTCCCCGTCATAATTGTAGGTGCCAGTCCTGGTTAACTCGACCCACCTCTGGCCGCAAGTCACTACTGCCCAACTGAAGCCAGCAACGACCAACCCATCAACGCACAAATTCGCGAGACCACCGAATTGCCAACGCCATCTTCAGGCAATCATGAGGCCTCGGAGGCCAAAATTAAATGAAAAGGCGAGAGAGCAACAGCAAATCAAAGTACTTTGTGCTGAAGCAATGCTTGCATCCATGAGTGCCTCCTCGAGTCTTAGCCTCGGACACACAAAAGCAGAGACTGCTAAATCCATACGAACATCGATGACTTCTCAATGAGTTTTGCCTCTTTGGGCTGGTCCTCAGGACCGCCAAGACGGCTCAACATGTCTCCAGGACAGGATCCTGGAACATTCTTGTCACATGTGGGAAGTGTTGGCTCCCAGCCACTTCCCGACATCTATGGGAAAGTCGCGAGAGAACCCGTAGACGAGCTGGTGAGTTTGGGCCTGGGACTTGGAAGTAGTAGTTTCCTAAATAGCTCGTCTGCAGGTTTCTACATGACTGCTCCACTACTGTAGCAAACGAGTAGGTGGGCTGCTGGGTCCAGAATCAGTTGAGCGACGTGGCCTCCTGTTGCCTCTTCTGGCCTCACGTGACTTTCCGGTACCTCTTGTGGCCTCGCATTGCCGTCCATATCCATTTGCCTCTGTCCCTGCCCTATATCCTCAGGTCCCTATCTCTTTATCCCCAATCTGAGTCCGATATCCTTACCCATATCCACTATCCTTAGTCCGATCCCCCAATCGTGGCCGCCCAAAACCTCACACTCATCACACGGCCTGGCATGTGGGAAGGGGTGATGCTTAGTAGGGGGCGACCAAAGATGCAAGCAGTTCTGTGGGCTTGGTCCTGAAGCAAACCGTAAGGGAGCACACGCGCCCGGTGTCACCGTGCGAAGCTCGGGTATAGCCAGGACCCCAGGTGAGGGGACCCGGTTAGTAGTAGGGCCCCGGAGCCCCTAAATGGGCCAGAATCGCTAAACCAGGTCTGCCGTAGCTGGTTTCTGTTCGGGTCGCGGCAGTTCCGGTTTTAGTGGAACGGGGCGGGGAGGGGGCACCCCCAGTATACATCATTCACCCAGGTCCACCTGAACTTAGCTCTGCCAACGCCCGAGAGACAGTTGTATTCGGATGCAAGGAAGTCCTAGGAGGTCAGATTCTGATTTTGTCCTGGTCCGAAATCCGGCTTGATCCAGCTGAATCCCGCTTAATCCCGCTTAGTCCGGCTTAATCGTGCTTTGTCCGAGGCCCACTCCGGCGTAACAGCTCCCAAATGGGGCTTAATCCTCCTTAATATTTCCGACGAAAACCTCCCAGTAGTTGGCTCCTAAGTTGTAGCACGATGGGCGCAGTTGTCGACGGCTGACCATGTGATTCTGCGGCGAGCCCCGGGGGGGGGCAGGCGAGAGGGGCCAGGTCTCCTCGGAGGGCGGCAAGACTTCCTCGGAAGCCCCTGGCGCCGTCCGACAAGCCGTCCCTGGCTTTGCACGAACGAAATGGGCACGGAAAGAATCGCTGTCCACGCCGCCGCGGCCTGTGTCCATTCAAGACAGAAGGCCGCCTGCCCAACTGCGGCCGCTGTTGGTTTGGGACAACATTTGTTCTTGGGCACTGTACCCATTATTTCCGTACCCATTTCGGGCGTCCAAGCTGGCTCCGTAGAGGGCGCACAAGGCTTCTCAGGAGGCGTCGCCCTGGGCTCGCCGCCGTGCAGCTACAGCAGGGAAAGTCAAACATTGTAAAAACAAATAGTCGGGGGACGATGTTTTGATGGTTTTTTACTTACCGTTTTTTGGTACTTGTTTGACTACCTATACGACCACCCTTCGGGTGATAATGAAGGTTGTGTGTGGGGGGGGAGAAAGGGGGGGAACCAACATCTGACTCAATCGATCTCACCATCGATTTCACTCACCGGGACACCACGGGACACTTGTCGATCTCACTGTCGATCTAATTATCGATCTCACTCAACGGGACACCACGGGCACCACGGGACACCACGGCACACCGCGGGACATCTCTCGATCTCATTATCGGTCTCACGATCGTTCTCACTATCGATCTCACCCAGCGTGACACCGCAGGACACCACGGGACACCACGCGCCACCTCAGGACACCACGGGACACTACGGGACACCAGCGGGACACTGGCGGGACACCGGCGGGACACCGCGGGGCACCAGCCGCCGGAGGAGTTACATTTGGTCCGGCCGCGGCAGAGCCACAGCGATTTCGGGACACCGGCGGGACACCACGGGGCACCGGCCGCCGGAGTTGGTCCGGCCGCGGCCCAGCCGCAGGAGGATTTCCTTTCGCCCGCCCACGCAACTTCGCCTCGCCCGCACGCACGCACGACACGCACGAAAGGAACCCGAAACCGAAATCGATTTCCCGGTAGGGGAGGTCTCCGTTTGACGTTGGACTCGCCCCCCATTTTCCGATTTTTGAGTTGTCCTCCAAACTCCTGCCTCCAGGGGGACACGCCCGACCTAAGGTTACAACCGCGTCGGCAGAGGCATCATTGGCCCGCCCGCGTGGCGCAGCGGCACCCCACGAGCAGCCGCCTCTGGGGGGGGGAGAGGCCACGCCGCAGCTGGGCGGGCCGAGCCTGGCGATGGGCTGCGGCGCGCTGGTGGCGGACAGGAGGGGGCGGCGCTCGCCGGGAGGACCGAGCGAGCAAGGTCTGTGGCAGCCGAGAGCCGAGGGCTGCGTAGACTCGAAGAAGAAAGATCCGAAGGGCTGCGGCAGCGAGCAAGGGCTGTGTCGCTTCGAAGGAGAAACAACGCCATGAGCATAAACTTTTGGCGCTCCGCGCGGATTGCCTGGGTCCGCGCTGGGCCTCCCCGGCGGCGCCCCGGGCGCGCTCCGAGCGCCAGGGAGGGGCTTCCAGCGCAGATCCAAGAAATCCGCGCGCAGCGCTACAAGTCGAGGTTTGTGGCGTGTTTTCCCAACGATGATGACAAGGATCCCGAGGGAAACCCGAGGAAGGAACTATCCTGGCGAAGGGCCCGTCCATGTGCCATTGTGAGCGACGCCGTTGTGCGAATAGTCTCTGGTGGAGCTCCCTATGGGCAACGTAATATGTGAGGAGTGTGTTTGTATGGGTGCGGTGGTGACATGCGAGGCCACTGGGGTCTCGGTGGAGCCCCATTATGGGGCTACGAAGCGCGTGAGGGGTTTGCCGACACGGGTGCGGTGGTGGCATGCGAGCGCAGCCTTTGGGGCCTTCGGCGGAGTTCGCCATGAGGCGTCTGAAGAGCGTGCCGAAATGGGTTCGATGTCGGAATGGGAGCGCAGCCAGTGGGGTCTTCGGTGAAGCTCCGCATGGCGACACGAGACGCGTGAAAGGTTTACCAGAGTCGGCGTGGTGTTGGCATGCGAGCGCAGCCACTTGGGCCTTCGGCGGAGCTCACTGTGGGGCCACGAAGCGTATGAAGGGTGTTCAGACATGGGTGCGGCAGTGGCCTGCGAGCGCAGCCTCTAAGGTCTTCGGTTGAGCTTCTTATGGGGCCACGTAACGTGTGAGGGGTGTGCCGACCTGGGTGTGGTGGCGGGATGCGAGCGCAGCCATTGGGGCCTTCGGCGGAGCTCTCTTTTGGGGCCTTGAGGCGTCTGAGGAGTGTGCCGACACGGGCAAGGTGACGGCATGCGAGCGCAGGCACTGGGCATTCGTCGAAGTCCGCCATGGGTCACGAAGCTTTTGAGGGGTGTGCCGACCTGGGTGCGGTGGCGGAATGCGGGCGCAGCCATTTGAGCTTCCTACGGGTCCACGAGACATGCGAGGGGTGTTCAGATTTCGGTGAAGCTCCGTCTGCGGCCACGGAGCGTGTGAGAGGTGTGCCGGAGGTAGTGCGGTGGTGACATGTGAGCGCAGCCACTGGGGTCTTCGATGGAGCTCCTCAAGGGGCCGCAAAACCGGTGAGGGGCAGGCCGAAAAGAAGATGATTGTGATGATGATGCTGATGATGATGCTGATGCTGATGATTATG